AAAGAAAAAATTGATACGTTTTACTATTAAAAATGTTAAAATATTTAATCACAGTTATTAAATACGTGAGACATAATGTAAATTTTAATTTTATCAAATTTATCATATAACTGTTATTCAATATTTTAATATTTTTAATATCAAGAGTTCTGATTTTCCTTCTTCGATCCTTATATTTTAAATTGCATATGTGTGGCTTACATAAAGCCAATCTCTTTGTTTCAACTTTTATGTCACAAAACCTCGTATGTATTTTAATTTTTTTAAACTATTTGTTGCATAAATTATTTTTTAAAAAATAATCATTTTTTATCCTTTTATCATCACCCATGCATCATATGATTCAAATAGAAAATCTTGATATTTAACAAAAAGTCAATCACGAGGTAATTGGCTTCTCTAATTTATCTGTTGTAATTTATCTGATACATGTATCATTGCTCAATGAGTGCATTTAGGATAAGGTCGGTATATATGGTGAAAATGTCACAATTAGGTCGGTATGATGTACTCTCCCTATCACGAGGAAGGCAATAGTCAATATATTGATTTATTTAGTCAATGGGTCAAGCACTTTAGTGAAGATTAATTGATTAAATCAGCCTTAAAATATAGATTAGTTTGAAGTGTAAACTTGATCATCCACCATACTACTTCATCATCCAACAAAGGTTTGAAAAAACTGTTGTTATTTAGCTTTTCTTATATTCATAATCAAATCCATGGCAGAAACTTGACAATCACTAACCCATTTATTTTCTTCGGTTAGGTATGTAATTGTTAATTAATACAGATTAACATTAATTTCTGTGCTTCTTAATTAATATCACATCATACGCCAGTTGTTAAATATATGTTCATTAAGAAATTGAATTTTTGAAATAAGAAGTAAAGGTGAAGATTTAAAAAAGCAGCCCTTTTTGGACTATTTCTTCATACAAGAAAAGCACCAAGGAAGTAATATATGGTTCGGTCCTAGATCATAAAAAAATATTATTATTTTAATGGGTTGGTAGAAGGATACTCTTTCAATTTGCCCTAAAGAGGGAAGAAATAGAAAAGAAACGAGGGTTTTCCAATTTGTTAAATTAAGGTTAATTGAGGTAACCAAAGTACTATTACTTATGTTAATACTCAAATTTAGATTTTTTTTTTTTTAATTACTAAATTGTGCAAGAAACCAAGAATGCCTTAATTTGGACGACACAGCTCAAGAGAAAAATGATTTATACACAATTGAGCAACGCGTCTCTTAAGAGTTTCCTATGTATGCATTATTTCCTTGATGGTATGGGCAAAACCCTTATTCACCTTTCAAATATGAAGCATGTATAGATTTACCCTTAAAAAAAAAAAAGAGGATAAATTACACTTCTAAATCATTGATTGAGATAAATGATTGCAAACTTAACGGTTAACATCATCACATGTCAAGAATCCATTTGCTATATAAGCTTGATAGAATTGGTCAAACCCTTAAATCTACCCTGTAAATAAGAAGTATGGACAAATTCACTTTAAAAAAAAAAAACAACAACTACAAATTCTCTTTTTAAATCATTGATTGAGATAAATGATTTCAAATTTAATAACGGATATTATCATACGTTAGGAATTCATTTGAATTCATTTGTCACATAAGTTTATTTTTAAGTGAAAGTATTGAAAATAGTAAAGATATAATCTTAACTCACTCTTTGCAGAAGTGCTTATACTATATACTAACAAATTAACTAGTTTTTTAAGTATTTCAAGTTAGTTTTTATGTATTTTAAGACTAATATTTCTCTAAGTAATTTTAAAAGCGTACCTCTATGTTGGCTTAATAAATTCAAAAAAATTAATATTTTTAAGTATTGATTTCAAAATTTTAATCATAAACTCTAAATTTAATCTATAAAATAATCCTTATTTACCAATAAATTCAAAGGATAATTTGATAGTCTATTAAAAAAAGGGTATACGTACCAAATGATACATATCTAATCGATTGAGGAAGAGTCTAATTTTATTATTAATTTTTATATGTACACATTTTATTTAATCAATTATACATCGTTGTATGATATATACTCCTCAAATCGTAGACTTTTTCCATTTTCCGCTAGGTTGAGTTAGCCAATTCTCATGACGTGATTCGCTGTTCCCATGTGGAATGAGTGGGAGATTTTGACGTGGCACGCCTATGACGTGGGACGGATGTTACCAGAATGACAGAAAATTACCCAATAAATTTTGAAGAGAAATGATTTTAAGATAATTTTTTTATTTTTTTATATAATTTGATATGTTATTTACATGATTGATTCTTTTTATTTATTTTTATTTATATGAGTCTCATAATATTAAATATATTTACTTAATCACATGTGAAAATTGTATCAAAAAATAATATAAAAAAATTATCCATATAATACTACCCAATTTTTAATCATTCCAAAAAACAAAAAAATTTGAATCACAGAGGACTCATGGCAGGAGTACTCCAAACCCATTCTAACTTATACTAATTCAATTTCACAATTCAAATAATTTGATCATATTATAATTACAATATTTATATATAAAATTATAAATTAATAATTATAACATAATATTGAATAAATAAATATAAATATCACAAATAAATCTTTTAAATGTAAAAAGAAAAATTAATTATAAAAAAATATATCATATATATTATAAATTTATAATATTACATGAGATTATAAGTATATTATTTTTGACAATAATTCTACGCCATCTATCTTGAGCAGAACATTACTTCCACTTCAGGTATTACTAATTACTCAGTAATTAATTAGCGAGCCATCCACTTCATCCATTGCCCAAACATAGGATAACTGAAAAACAATAGACATACCTAGATAAATACCCAAAACAAAACAACTTTGAAAAACTCCCTCCAACGTACTACAAGAAATCGTTAAAGTTGTCTAATTACACCATTTCCCTATGACTTAGGCCATATGTTACTTTTGTCTCCTGCCATTTATGGACGTCAACATTTAAGAAAGAATTCATAATCAATCTATTGATTGCTTGCTTAATTCTCTCAGCTAATTACCTGCATTACCTCGCGGTAAGCTTTTTTGATGGGAAAGTGGGTAACGAATAATTATGCTTAATTACTTTTTTAAGTCATTCATAGGGTTGTTGCTTCCAAAAGCCAAAATTCTAGAGTGAGTCAGTAAAAAGTTCTATCAAATCTAAGGAGAAAATTAGGGAAGTAGTAATTATAATCATAATATCTTCTAAAGATTGTCTCTTACTCCTTTTGCCTTACTTTTCCTAACTTTGCTTTGCCTCATGATGGACCGCAAATTCCTGAATTTAACATTGTCCATACATAATTATAATTAAAAGTACTGTAACTAAATCATGATTTATGTTTAGTTTTAAAAAAAAAAAATTGAATTATTTTTGTGCACAAACTAAGAGTAATTTCTCTCTCTCCCTCTCTCACTCTTTTCTTTTGATCAGCACATTAATTTTCCATTTGTTCATTTAAGAACAGATAATCTACATTGAGATTGAGAAATTTATAAAAAAATTATTTTTTTAATCTCTACAAAAAATTAAATTTTAATTAATAAAATATAGAACAAACATTGCTAATTAAATTATCACTCCTTAAATATATCATGATTTATGAGACCGTAGGCAAATGTTGTAAATAAAATCATATTAAATTTCTCTAATCAAATTAAACTAACGTGATGTGATAATTGTCGTCCCCCACTTCTTTTCCTAAGGTTAATAATTCCTTCTAGGAAAACCATTGCCTTCAATTATTTCGATTATGAAATTCACTACTTTTATGAGTATCAGTATCATACAGCCCCTCCTTGTGTCCGTTCAAAATGGCTAGACAATCATTTGTCTCCGACAAAAATGACATACATTTTCCACGTTTTGATTTTAATTTTATTATTCAAAATATTCATTGACAAACTTTGATGACAATAAAATCATTGGAACATATAAAGTAACAGTTATTAATTTCCAAAATTGAAGACAATGGGTAAGCCTCAAATTTAAGCATGCAAATGGAAGAGATTCAAATTAATTCACAAGATTTAAGTGTCTCATCCTATTTTCTTACAGAAATTGAAATACAGCCTGTTTTGTGCATATTGCATTTCTTAACCATTTGATAGATTGTGGTTCAACACTTTCATAAAAAAATACATCATTTTAAAATTACAAAACATGTTAAAATTCAAGCATGCATAAATCAAGGATCTTTACCAATTTGAGGATGTCCAAAAGGAGAAAAGAAACAAGGAGTATGCTTGCAAAGTCAGATCTTTTTGTACCTTGGCTATTATATATTGGGTGGATGTGTCATGAGTCATGACATGAAAGAAAGGAGCATTGTGGAGCTAAAAGATGGATAATTAGTGGGGAGAGAAAGGCCTCAAAGACACCCAATTTAGAATTTGTGTCCTTCATTAATGATGAGTGCACCTTAAGTTTAAAGTTCCAGCTCATAATTGCTTTTAATAGTGTCGGTTGACCTCCTGTTACTTTGAGGTTTGCATATTAAAATGGATGTAAGGTTCAAATAATATTTGATCAATTAGATGTAGGGAAAAAAAATGGTATACTTAAAGATGCAAATTAAGAAACCTTTTTATGTTTCACAGAGAAGGACAAAAGGAAAAAGAGGGGTTTCTTTTGGCTAGGGAAAAATAAGTTTTTAATTATATATTTGAAATAAAAGCATGATGCTGCCTAATCTAATAAAAGTGTAACTATTAACTAATCTTATGAATTTATTGATAAACAAACATCCTTTTATATTTTACATTAATTAATAATTATAATTTGTTTTATTAGTTAAATTGTGTTCTAGTTTGAGTCTTGGGTTAATAGCAAAAACAAATTTATATCTTTAAATGCACTAAATAAATATAATATTTTGCAAATCACTTAAAAATAATTATGCCTAAGACTTGGACAACCAGCTTGAAAACAATATGATTGTCTAAATTTAAATAAAGAAAAAAAAAAAGTGTAACTAATAAGTGAACCTGAAGACTGCTAAGGTCATGTCAAAGTAACCCAAATGATAAAATTTTGCTCTATTTTTTGATTTAGTGGGTCCATGATCTCATCTTTTACAAATCATGGTCCTCTTGAAATTGCTAAATTTATAATTAAAAAACAGAAACAGACTACCTACAAGTACTCGAGAAATCCATGAATTTCTATTCGAGCTCTGTGCCTCTCTCTCTCCATTATTAATTTTTTAAGGCCGCGGTAGTTGGAATGGAGGTCATCATATAAATGCGGATGAGCTGAATTTGCGGGGAAGGGAGAAGTAGGGAAAACTATAGATACCTATGGGCCACCGCTGCTGCAGCAAGCAGAAGGTGAAGAGAGGCCTCTGGTCTCCTGAAGAAGATGAAAAGCTCATCAAACACATCACTGAACATGGCCATGGCAGCTGGAGTTCTGTACCAAAACTTGCAGGTATACATATATATATGTATAATATAATACTTAAACCTTTCTCCAGAAACAATTCATATATGTTTTTGATAAAGATATAAGTTTGAAATTAATCTGTATGTATTACAGGGTTGCAGAGGTGTGGAAAGAGTTGCAGATTGAGATGGATAAACTACTTGAGACCTGACCTTAAGAGGGGATCCTTCACAGCAGAAGAAGAACAGATTATCATTGATGTTCATAGAATTTTGGGCAACAGGTGAAAGTTGGAGTTTATATGTCATTTAATTGATTAAACGTATATAACTTTTCATGTCAGCGAAGCTTTGGCTTAGTGTTAAGGTAGAGGTATGGTTTTAGGATTTAGGATCAAGTCCTGTAGAAGTAAAAGTACTTTTTCAAGCCAAACATGTTTAAAGGACCTAATGAAAGTAAAAGGTTACGAATTCAAGTTGTATAAGATGGAGTGGGATGGGAAAGAGACGGGAAAGAGTTGCATACCTCCCATGGTGCAGCCCAGAATAGAACAAAGCACATTTTTCACTGACATGGGTTCATTTTTATCCGCAGATGGGCGCAGATAGCAAAGCATCTACCTGGAAGAACAGATAATGAAGTGAAGAATTTCTGGAACTCTTGCATTAAGAAGAAGCTTCTCTCCCAAGGACTGGACCCCAAAACTCACAATTTGCTTTCCTCTCATAAGAGACCTAATAGGGTCCACGTCACTTCATCATCACAAATGCAAGAACAAACCTTTTCTGTTTTCAATGGAAGTTCCCAACTCATGGAGATTATTAATCCTCCTCTTCTTACACTTCCTGCAGCAGCTCCTTCCTCTCCCTTGCCCATACCCATACCCAATTCTCATTACCAAAACCCTAATGTCCTTTGGCCTGCAGGTAATGATCCAAACTCCAATGAATCCACCTTTTTCCCTTATGGTTCATCCATGGAGAACACACTTATTTCTTCCTTATCTTCCACATTATCCGGAGTCAATATGTTGGATGAGGGTCATTGCATTTTGGGTGCTAATGGTGCTATTGAACCTTATCGAGTACCGAGTATGGAAGAACAATTACAATTACAATTACAACAGCAGGAGAAGGAGAAGACTATTGTATGTGATAATCAGATGGTGATGGATAAAATTGATGGGGAAATTCAGGAGATGGATTCTTCATTTGATACCTCTAACTTTGATCTTGGTTTCTTGATGTCTGGTGCAATGTGTCGAGATAATTTGAACTCCATGGATGATTATAATTTTGCATGGAACTTCTAGCAGGGACTTCTCAGTTTTCATGCATGTATATGTACTGTATACCACTTAAGGTTCTTTGCTATTTGCATTTAAACTATCTCGTTTCCATAGACTATTAGGCTTTTTTTACACTTTCTTTTTATTTTTGACTGTAATTTTCATAAATATGTGAAATAAAATTAATTAGAGAAAAAGAAAAATACTCAATCTGTACAATAATTTCTTTTCTTTAATTATGTTAACTTCTTAAAGAAACTATAAATTAGTTTAAAATACCATCTATTTAACCCTTTAACTAAACAAAGAAAACGACAGCCAGACAAACATATATCAATAAAATTGTATCCTACGAGGAATTTCCTTGTCACACCCAGTAGCTTGTAGATTATGACTAAATTAATTTTTAGAATTGAATTATTTCTCTCTCAAGCTTGTAGACAATTACAACAGCCAAAAAGAAAGAAATGCTTTGCTCTCAAGTAGTTTTTTTCTCTCTCTCTCTCTCTCTCTCTTTTTACCTAAGATAATAAGGTATATAATAAAAAATAACTCTCTTCTTCTTTTATTGTATGTTTAGTTTTAAAGAAATAAAGGAAAAGGAAAAGAGATGAGTAGTGGAATGAATTAAAATATTCATTCATCTTTTCTTCCTCTTAAATTGATTATACCATTAATCCATCCCATTCCTTTAATTCCTTCTTATTTATCTCAAAATTTAATCTCAAAATCTCTAATTTAAATTCCCAAATTTTTATCCATTTGAGATAAGAGATAAGGAGACTTTGCTCTCAAATAGTTACTAATGAAAAAAGTTCAGTTTTCTCAAAATTTTAAAAATATAATATTGAATATTACCCATAACATAGTACTTCAAAGAAATGATATTGTGCAATATTCTGTTTTGTATAATTTTTTTTTTTAACATTTCCAAATAGGTATACAATTACGAATAACCACCAATTTTCTGAACCACCACTCTTTCGTCCCATTTTATGAACTTGAAATCTCCAATCCGTAAACCTGAAAAAAAAAAAAAAAAAGGACGTGAGTTTTGGCCCAAAAAACCATCATATGATATTTTGATATAACCTCTACCATGGACTCAATTCCATAGAACAACCTACAAGTTAACACTAGATTAAAAAACTTTAATGGTAAAAGAGTGTTCATAGATTGAGGCAGTGTATTTGATATTCTTTCTATCACCACTTAGTAAGTTTGAGACTCGATAAACTTCGATTGAAAAGGAAATTCAATGAACAAAACAATAGTTCACGCAAACATGTGAAACCCATTTGAGAGGAGATCTCCTAACAGCAAAACCATGGGAATTCCACTGTGCTCATATAGCCACAGTAAGGTGTCATCAAGATTTCAGCGTCGCTCACAATATTCCCCCCCGCATATCTTTCTCAAACTCCATAAAAGGTTTATTTTTCTTCACTTCATTTGAAACTTGGAAATTCATTGGGTATCACCATAAAAATTTATCAAAAAAAAAAAATTAAATGAAAATAACAATTGAAAATTAAAAGTGAGGTTCAAAATTTAAGGTCTAAATTGTCAAAAGAAAATAATTTGAATACTACAAATTACTTGGTTATAATCTTTAGTTAAATTTGTTTGCCCGTTAAAGTTTTGAAGAGTTTATAAAAAATGTTTGGAAAGCTTAATTGAACTAAAAAATTAAAAACCCATGGGAAAAAAGAGTAAGACATAAAAGATTATCATAATGTGTACATGAAAATCCAATCATTATTTAATCTATATTTTATTTATTACATATTTAATAAGTATTTCAGTATTTAATTTTTTATATCTAATAATAAAGATATAATTTCTTTGAAAAATTATTGACCTTATATAACTATAGCCTGTGGTATTCAATATCATTTCAAATAGAAAAAATTCATCATCAAGACATTTTGAAGTTTTTTTGAAAAAAAAAAAAAGCATTCTGAAATCAATCGTCAAAAACCAATACAACTAATATAAAACAAAAGATCAAATATAGAAAATATAAATAATGGGGAAAAAGTGACAATAATACTCAAAAGATATTTTTGCAATAAACAAAACAAAACAAAAATGATTGTCCACTGGTTTTTATTTTCTAAAATTAAAACAGAAGAAAAAAAAAGTTGTTTGAAATGAATAAAAGACGAAAATGAAATGCATAAAAATCCAAAAATCAAGGTGATACCAAACATATTTGAAGTTTCAAATGAGATTAGAAGAATCTACCTCTCATGTTCTACCAAAAAAAAAAAAAAGAATATACCTGTCATGTAGTTAAAGGAAGATTTGCCAAGGAAAACACAGCAATCCCAGCCAAAATTGACAACCAGGACCTCAACATTGTGGCAACATATCAAGTAGACAAACCCAAGATCACTAGCTAGGAAATAACTCCTCCAACTGAGACGAACATGCTGCTAAACCAATTGATCCATTGCATTTCCACAACCAAACATCATAAAGTCTCAACTTCCTAAATATGTAATAGCATAGAAAACCATATGCACTTCCACTATCTAGTAACATCTTTCTCACAATAAAGTTCTCAATCTATATTGTGGAAACATGTAGGTTATTCCAAAGACTTGTTATCCACTGAGTGGTTATATTATATGATCTCTTAAGCTTACATTATTAAACCTTTCTTACACCATGTACTGACATTAAATAACATTCATGTTATCCCTTGAAACGTTATTTATTCATCTCTCATGTTTAGTTTATTAAAACTTATGTCATGTAGTGACATCACTTACCATTTATATTGAGTTATAAGTGTGTTTTGTGAACATTGTGAAATGATGAACTTGTGAAAACTTAAATACAAACAAACAATCAACAAATTGAAATACACAACTCAAGATAAAAAAAGAATATAAAAGAAAAAAAATGATCTTGAATATCAATGCTTTGACCAAAGATCCATTTGGCTCTGTGTAGTTCATCTCCTTAGGCAAAGTGAATGGCATAAATAAACCAAATCAATGAAACTCATTAGTAGTAATCAAATTAATACATAGCAATCAAATTGGAAACAACATAAGTGCCAACCCCATTAATATGTCCAGGGCTTGATTCTTCCAACATATAAATCAATTAAAAACTAAGAAATTAGAATAGGGTAAACGAATCTGCATTTAAACATAGAGAGTTAGGAAAGAAAGTTTACATTTTGTATGAAGGGACAATTAAGCATTTAGCATGCTACCGAAACACACTAATCAAACACGTCCAAAAGAGAATCATGCAAACAGAAAACATAACCATACACATCCATCAGTCAAAATTCCTAAATAAGTTTTTGTATTCCAGTTCTCCCCTTCATTTTTTGAAAGATATTTTCAATTTCGCTGAACAGAAGAGAAGTAAATCCCTCACAAAGAATTTTTTGTCATTTAAAAGACAAATCCCTCCTGCTGCCTTGCCCTAAGTTCTCCACATTTGGATTCAAACCACGGTTACAAACTTCTCAAATAATGTACTAAAGAAAGAAAAAGCATATGAAATGTATTTTTTTTCATTACATTGACAGAAGAAAAGGCATTCTTCTTTCAAGTGTCCTTCCTAAGAGGAAATGTGCCATATTCTTTCCGATCTCAACAAAACTTTATTCCATTCTATTTCTTTCTGTATAGCCAGGGTCCTAAATCCAACTTATATGATTGCTAAACTAACCCCTCATTTTTTTAGACATAACAGAACATTTAGCAATAACAGATTAGCAGAACACTTTAAAAATACTGGGAAAACCCCACTTAAACAAAATTATTTGAAAACAGATAATTGTTTGGCCTCCACTGAGTTTAAACATCTTGAATTCATAAACACCACTGGTCTCTAGCAAAAATGATCAAGTTTCCATCACAGAGAGAAAAACTCAAAATCAAACTAAATAATAATTAACTTAATTTCTAAGACCAAGCAAGTTGAGACAGTCATCACAGAAGGAATTTCATATGCATATCACCCTTTTCAAACAAAGATAATCCATAAAACTGAAGAGATGAAAACAAATTTTTACCTCCTCAAGCACCAGGGAAGCTTGTCATTGCCTTGCTTCTGGATCATTTTTCTACAACGCCAGAGACAACCGTCCAAACCTCAGACCGTGGGAAGGGAAATTTTCCGAGGAGATTCCGTCCTTGTACGCCGGCGAAATTTTAAAATCTCTCTCGTCGGTTTCGACCTTAGTGTCGTGAAGGTTGGTGATAACACATCTGCCGTGGAGTTCTCCAATGGCGGCGGATCAGTTCGAGGCATGATCGGTGGTGGATCTGAGATTGGAGTTTGGGTTCTCCGAAAGCGTTAGCGCTTGTTTGGATAGAAAATAGTAAAGGGAAGGGAAGGGAAGGGAAGGGAAGGGAGGGGAATGGAGGAAAATAAAAGGACATGGAGGGGGAGGAAAAGAAAAGGAAGGGAAGGAAATAGAAGGAAATGATTTGTGTTAATTTTATTTGGATAAATAAAAATGAAGAAGGGGAAGGGAAGGATTGTATTATTTTATGTTTGGATAATTAAGGTAAAAGGAAGGGAAGGAAAGGGAAATTTTAAATTAATTTTAAATTTACAAATTTATTCTTTAAGCTTGTAATGGAGAAAGATATAATAAAAAAATTAAGGTTAATTTTATAATTACATTTAATTTAATCTAAATAGTCACTCAAATTCCTCCCAAACCCTCCAAATCGGGCAGATTGTAAATTTGCAGATTTGAGGGTGGTTGGAGGGAGTCCGAATCAGCCCATCTCTCTCCCCCTCTGCCTTTTTGGAAACCCAAACAGTAAGAAGGAGACAGCCCCCCTCGCTTTTCCTCCCTTGCCATCCGTCCCCATCCCTTCCCCTCCCTCTCCATCCGACACCACCAATCCAAACAATACCTTAAAGTGGGATAGAATCCACGGAACGTAGCAAATAAGACTCTTGGACCGGCGATGGTTAAGCATAGGTTAACGGCACAAGTGGCATTCTTGATTTATGGCGTCGACGGCGTTGCTGCGGACGGATTCCAGTTAGGAGAGGGTGGGAAAGAAATCAACGTCGGTGGAGAGAGGAGGTTTTTGCATAGAGGCATTTTTTCGACCGTTTTATTAGGGTTCCGCTTCTGATCAATTAAGGGGGATTTTGGAGTAAAGTTGCAAATAAAGATTTTAACTTTGCACTTTTTTTTATTTAAGGATGTTAACTTTGTTAATTTTTAAATAAGGATGTTAACTTTCAATTTTTTTCTAAATAAGGATGTTAACTTTGTCAGTTTCTAAATAAGGATGTCAACTTTCAACATTTTCTATTTAAGGATGTCAACTTTCAACTTTTTCTATTTAAGAATTAATTGAATAGTGATGTTGACCGTGGCTAACATATTTTTTAGGTTAAATACCTGAATTGGTCCCTCAACTTT